TCTGAATAATGAATTTGACTCCATTTTTCTGTCAGTTTTCTGTCCCAATCAAGACCGACCCCCCCCCCCCCCCTTTCACAAACGGGCTAAAATAATGCGTACATTGAACTCCCGTCATTTATCATATTTGTTTTTTTTTCTTAACATTTTCAGGTAGTAAGATTTGGTTTTAAATCGAGCTCATGAGAAATTATGAACTTTTTGGTCTTACAGAAAACATGTTATTTCATATCAATTTAATATTGTTTTTGCAAGACTCATAATCAAGAACAGCGAGAAAGACTATTTCGCAGACTGTTGAAAGATACTCAGTCCGTTCTTACAACGAATAAGTCCTTATGCACAGATGTTAAATAAAAATAAAACAAAAACTTGCCCATAAGCCAAACCAAAGAAAGAAACCAATAAAAGCACGTACTCTACCAAGATATTAGACTTATCAAAACAAAACAAAAAACACTTTGTATGTTTATATTAAATAAAATATGATATTCGTTTATTTAATTGATGTTGGAAAGGAGAAAAAAATCACGAAGAAAAACAAAAACGAACTGATAATAGACAAACTATAAAACAATATCAATTGTTATTTCTTTTACTTTAGAACTGCAGAACGTATAATAACAAAATTAATTAAGCTGACTCATTACACATAAACTGTATAAAAATACATTAAATGGGACTTTTGAGGTTTTTTTCTCCATTATCGTTAAAGTCAATACACAAAGTATTTAATTACATAAATCAATTTCGAAAAAACTTTAAAATTTCGCATTATTAAATTTTTATAAAAAACACTGTTTCAATAACATAATATTCATAAGATAGATTAATAAAATATTGAATCTGAATATTCATAAGCAATAAGGATAATCCAATCAATTTTGTTGATTGGATTATTCACGGCTGAGTAGTTGTGAATCAGTGACACGTGCCCTCATTATTTTATAAAAATATTGAATATCTATTTAAGTTCGTTTTCAAAATATTCCAAAAGTTTCCACTAAAATAGACAACGTGAAAAGAATGTAAACATTTTTCCTGTGTGCATATACGATGACTTTAAAAGAGTCCTGGGTGCACTTTGTATGTCCTGAGTGCACTCAGGAGGTCCTGGGCAGTGTTTAGACGTACCCGTTGATTTGCAACTGTATTTTTTCTGTTTTGGCACATACTTATATATGAACCTCATTAAATTCGATCTCAAAATAGCGAATATAAAGGAACAGATATTTTAAAGTCTTAATAAATTCCATTGAGCACAAAACTAATCCAAATTCGATTTCAATTATTTCGTGATTCTAAAATACGTTTTTTTTGTGGCAGAAATTGCAATTATGTTTTTATCTGATATGACTTTGAAACACTGATTTAAGATTTATATTGTCCACAAAATATCATAAAATATAAGGGATAAAAAAGACGCTTTTCTATTATTTTTTTTACAAGGTTGTTAATTGTTTAATTATGTCGTAATTTGCTTGGTCAGTGGCGGATTCAGGAGCCGACATATCGCTTCCCCTTTGATTGGATAATATATCATTTTTAGCATAATTAAAATCATCATTTTTTTTTATCCTGGCTACACGTGGCGTTATTTCTCCGTCTGTATAATACAGCTAGTGAATTAGTCTAAATATCCATCCAATGCATAGTAATATTTCTTTTTCATCACTTTTTTTATTCTTAAATATAAGCGTTGTCTATTTCTATCTGACAAGCACACACATGGACTTTTTCATTAGTATAGAAAGTCCCTGGCCAACAATAGCAACAACGTCCTTTTGATGATCAATTCATTATAAAAAAAAACAACTAAACTCTCTAAACTAAACTATGTGGACAGTGGGTCATCGCACACAGGTTTGTTTAACAAGACAGCTGATTGGATAAATGTGATAGATTGTCACGCCTACATTAAACTGTTGTCCAATCAAATGCCAGCAGAAACCTGTCAATAAAAAGGTTATTGCAAGCGTGGATAAGTTAGAGATTTGATTGTGTATTCGATATTTGAACAAAAAGTTAGATAATCACTATTCGTTTAGAATTAAATTGCGAAGAAAGTGTTCGTGTAACAACCCTCCCCTTTTCCCGTTTTCGCCTTCTTATTTTTACACTTTCTTTTTTAACAGAAAGTATTAAATATGAGCGTACTGCAAGTTTCTGAATTTTACAAGCATTCTATATAGCGACTTGTGATTTCCGGGAACGTCATGTTTTCAAGATTTCACAGACCTCTGAAAAAGTTAGAACATACAAGTTTCATCTACCATTTGCAGAAAAAACAATACCAAATTATATTTGTAAATTGGAAGAGATTAAGAATTATAGTTTAATATCCGTACTAAAAATCGTCTGAAATATAACAAAACATATTTCTCTCTGCCTCAATGCAATCGAAAGCAAATTTTCATTTTATTCTTCATCTATTTGCAAAAGACGAAGAATTCTCCTTAAAACTGTAAATTATTAAACAGGCATACTAACTTTAAAGGATAAAATACAAGTTTGTACTACCATCCAAGGAAATAAGTGTTCCATAAAGTAACTAATCCTTAATTCACAACCGTCAAAACTCAGGACTCATTTTTGATATTTACCTGAGAGATCATAAAGGACATACATCTACCAAGAACTTATTATAACCAAAATGGCAAAAATGAAACAATATCTATTTTTTTTTTTTGGTAGACGAGTAGCAAATTGAATAAGGAAATGTTATTGAAAGAGAATTAAGATATATGATAATTTTTCCAAGCAAAGTGGCAAAAACATGCATATATAAAGTTATGTAGGTGCAAAACAAAACTATATATTAATAGTCAATTTCGACTATTTAATAAAGGATTATAGGTCGAACACGACACACGATTCTTGATTTCCAATGTACATGATTTAAAACCGTGTTTTTTCTTCTACAGATTGCATTTTGAAGAACACATGCTTGGCCATGATCGTTGAATGTTCAGCGTACAATATTACATAATATTCAGGATGATTTCAACGAAAAGCAAACGAAAAAGATTTATTTTTTTAAATCCGAGCATTCCTTAAATTCAACATTTAAAACCGTTTTGTTTTACGCAAAACATATAAAATTGAGAATGACTGATGTACTTTTTATTCTCTCTAACACTTAGGATTGGTAGTCCCGACAGCTTTCTCTCCATTAGTAAGGGAGGTCCTGGGTAAGGGAGGTCCTATTCTTAACAGTAAGCAAACACTGAAAAGTCACAGGACAAAAAGTCACAGGACAGGAAGTGACAATTGTTTAAGTATGTAAGAGAAATATCTTGAAAAATTACTTTGTATTACATATATTCTTTTTACAGTTTATTGAAGATTTATTAAATTTTAATCATGCAAATGATATAATATTTCTTAGCACCATGAAGCTGTTTAGGTACCAATCCACTTTGATAGTTTGTTTACTAAACAATTATTTGTTCATTTAATACATTTGTTTACAGAGTTGGTTTATATATACAATAGTTCAAGATACATACAAAATATATTTTTTTAAATAAGTATTTTCTCTTTTTCAAAGAAAATAGTCTCAGAAACTGAACTGTGACCTTTCGTCTGTGACCTTTTGTCCACAAGCACGCATTATTTATGAGTAAAGTTGGAACAAAGGTCAATTTGGCTCTGATTCACAACAATTGTTCTCTTGTAAACATGACCTTTTTTGTCGACACGCGCTCGCCGTATCAGGCTAGAACAAACCAATGCATATCAATGTCACATGTGTCTTTTCCTCGACTGAATGTTATTAGCAATATTAATATTGGATACAATTGTAACGTAATGAATTGCATTTGATCCTAGTCCTAAGTTTAATTTTTGGTTGAATCAGTTGAACATCTAAGTGATCATCGATGTGTAATATTTGACACTGGACATTATTTTAGGAGCGATGCAAAACAAATAATGTATTTCTATCAATCATTTACTTCAGTTAAAGACTTTTGAATGTAACAATATGGTACAAATCGATTTGATTTACTGAATTGCATATTTCTTTTTATCGAAATGAAAATATTATAATCAAGGCGATTAAGACTTGATCAGACCAAAATGACCGTTTCAGACTTAAATCTGGCTACTAGTGAACGGCACTACGATTGCCCGTTCTTATCGATTTAAGCTTCGGTAACTCCATTAGTCACGGCACCATAAATGTGGGGACTATCTAACTCTAATAAAATAAACAACAGCTTTACAGTTTGACGTTTACTTGTTACTATAACTAAAGCTAAGGTGGCATCGCCGATGTGACGTCGACCTTGGATACAAAGGTAATTCGCGACGTTACCGGTCCCGCGGTCTCCTTAACAACAACATCTTGTAAAATAATAAAATTTATATACAAACATGACAGAAATGAAAACAACATGATGGGATTTGCACAAACAAGAGCGCAAATAAAATAAACATTCAAGAAACCATCAAAATGATACAGACTAAAAAATGGAAAAAAAGACAGACCTAAATACAACATTAAAAAAAATAGACGAAATGAGCAACAGACAATAAAGACAGACATACAATCAAAAAGAAAGTATGAAATACAGACAAACAATAATGAAAATATTAAAACATACATACAAACAACCGTGAAAGATACATACAAACAATACTAAAAACAGTACAAACACATAACAACAACATTAGAAATAAGATTGACAAACAAAATTCCCTGAAAACCAAAATTAGTGAACTCCACAAAAATTTGATTTGATACAAGTATTTCAAAAAAGAGAAAACATATCCGGATATGAACAAAGACTTGGTCGTATTGATGAGTGCTCTAAGTAAGTAGTGATTGAAAGCCATCATACAGGAAAGGATATACCAATTATTTTAAGTGTTTCATTTAGTTATAATCATGATAGCCATAAAACTGTTATAGCATTGAAAAGAACTATCTCCAAGAAAGTTATTTACTATGTAAACATATTTTATTCTAATTTATTATAAATTTTCATAATTTTCAGGTGGAAAACATTTAACTGATAATATAGTAAAATTAATACCAATACAACGTATAGGAACCAAGCAAGATATAGGAGATACAGTACTGTATGTGGTGAGCAATGCTGCCCAGCTACTCACGGGGACAACAATAATAGCTGATGGTGGAAATTGTTTAACTGATGATAATAACTTTATTGCTAGAAGGGCAATGCTTCAAAAATTTTCTAAATTGTGATAAGTTACTTTACTGCTATGAACAGTATTTAAAAAGTACAAAATGCATGATCAAATAATTGCCTTTGATTTATTTAAAATAAAATGTACTAATGTACTTGAAAATTATGGACAGACAATACATTGATTCATGAAAATATTTGTGAATAAAACAATTTTTGCAGTATATACATCTATGTATTTCGGAAACAGGATATACACCAACAACAACTGAGTAAATATATACATATTTCTACATATTTTCCAAAACTCTGAAAAAATATTAAATTAAATTTGTAATCAGTAATTTTCTGTACTTCCAAAGCTTAATGTTGAAAAACATAGTCAGATTTTTATATTCTGATTTTAATGTTGAAATAGGTAATTAATATTCATCTTTTCAACCTGCAATGTAGGATTTTCAACATTGATTAGTTATAGGGACAACTTTAGACTTCTGTTTAATAGAAGTCTCAGGGTCAACAGTTCACTGATTGTCATGGTTGGTATCTTCACAAATATACAGATTTTTTTTATATTCTCATTTGATTGATTTAATACTTGATTATTGTTCTCTTTTTTTCACTTCTTGTTATTTAGCACTAATGAGTTTTAGGGTAAGCAGTATTTGATTGTCATGATCATTTACCTCTTCCATCATTTTATCAGAATTATTTTATTTAACTTTTTATTACTAATTTCTATATCTATATGGTTTTGCTTCATTATGATGCATAGTTGTATAAAGACATGTAAAAAAAAGTATTAACAAAAATACGAACTCCAAAGTATATTGATAAAGGTGGAAGTCCATAAAACCTGACAAAATCAAACACTCTGCTATTTGAAATAAGTGGAAAGCAACTGTCATATTCCTGACATGGTACAGGCATTATCGAAGAAAAATATGGGTTAAACCTGGTTTTATAGCTAGATAATGTTCAAAATGTTTGTAATATTTGTAGCATTATACCAGAAAAATCAATAAATTTCTTGATTCATGTCCCTTCAGCTCTGATATTACTACACAATAACCCCTATTGTTTTAAGAGCTTATACTTACTATAAATGTTGATGTCTATTAATCAAATTTGAATAATTATGCATATTGTTAATTTATTGTTAATTTTTTGATAATTTTTACAAATATATGAATAGATTTAAATCATATGTTGTTGTTTTGTTTTAGATCACATGTATGTGAGGCCATGTAATCTTTTGCTGGTATATTTGCACTTAGTGTCAGTAATCCTACTGTTTATCATATAATTTGAATCTAATGAGACTGAGCTCATCATTAATGTTTTTAAGCACAGTAGTACAAATTAAACTTCATTACTCTGGTTCAGATTTTGTAATAACCTGTTTACTGCAGCTGAAAATGAAATTAGTTAATTGACTGTGAAGATTTTCTTTAGAACTGATCGACTGATTGAAATTAGATATGACAGAATGGTTCTTTATCTAGTATGGTATTACTAATATATATTTCATATCAGATATAAATTCATCTTATTCATTGATATAAACGAGGTTGGTATCATACTTTAGTTTGCAGTTAAAAAATACATATGGGGCAGATCCAGGATTTTTTTAAAGAGTGGGTTTATTACAAAAAATGTAGAAAATTGTTTTGAATGATTTTATGCTAAACATTGATATATTTTCCAATCAAAGGGGGCATTTGCCCTCTACACCCCACCCACCCCTGCCACTGTTCATAATGCCCATGTAAATTATCACCTTTTAAAATGTCTGCACATGATTTAAGAGTTGTGTCCCTTTTTGTCAAAAGATTCTTGGTTTATTCTACATGTGTATATATGAAATGAAATCAACATTATATTTACCTTTGTCGAGAACATAATCATGAAAATAATCTTCTAGCAATTAACTTAGTATATACTTCAACATTGATAATACCCTCACCTGCACCGCAAGCATTATCAATGTTGCGATCATTACTACTGTCCCTTCGACAGTCTATTTATCACAATAATTTCCTTATTATTAGTAACTTTGATGTAATTAATAACATATTCTATGATTGACTACGAATGTTTGCTTAACGTCCATTTGCAAGTTATTATACATATCCAAGCAAGAACAATTGATTTTATGGGCAGGATCTGCAAAGTGGGTGGAATGGGATAAATTGCTGGAAATTTGGACTGTAACTGGAAAATAAGAATATGTTAGACATGGGCCAGATATCTTGTATTGCAAAAGGCTACATAATAAATTTTGATTCTTTAACATGCATAGAACATTGAACTTGATAAATATTCGGTTTTAAAACCCCTGCGCACATTGAAACTGAATCCATGTGAGGTTCTAACTGAGGTCTTACAGCTGGTTAATCACACAAAGCATAGCCAAGAGACCAAGGGAAATATACAAATGAAGAAAAATATTTTGAAACTGTCAAACAGTGCTGATTGAGTTCATTGTATTTTTAATGTGAAATTCCTGAGGACATTCACAATTTGTTGCTATTTGATAAATGCAGACTCCTGTATAACTTTATATCCCTGTCTGAAATGTTTCTTTATTTGTCTGTCGAGTGTTTCAATTTATAATTAAGTAATTACCCTCCTAGTCTTAAAATTACACACTGTGCATGTCAATGACATCCTAATTTGCGTCAATTTTAATTTTGATAAGAATGAGTAATACACAGTTTATGTAGAAATTATTTGTTATGTACCCTTTGTGACAATCAGATTTTAGAGGTTGAAAAAAAACCTAAAATTTCCTTAGCGGGGAGGGGTGGGGCTTCATTTTTTTTAATTTAAAAATGTATAAATCACCTTCTAGTTATGCGGATAAGCATATCTTCTTTTTAAAGTACTTGTATTTATTGTAGTATGATTTGAGTAGAATTCCAGTATAATTTGTTAAGTAATATGATTCAATGTAGTGTATAATTTCCGCTGTTTTAGTTTCTGTATTTTAAGTACTCCCCAATGGACATAAAACCATTGTCATCTTTGCGAGTGATTTTAAGTTGTTTATTTATTGACAAAATTGCTCTCAATGATTTTTTTTTATGATGAATTGAATCGAAAAGAACAACTGTAAAGAAATCGATTATACATAAAAAAAATTAACAACAATACCGAACTCCAAGGCAAATTTAAAAAGAGGAAGTCCATAAAAACTATCAAAATCAAACGCTATCAAATAACAAAACAAGAGAATAAAACAACTACCATATTCATGACTTTTTCGGAAGCAAATGGTGAGTTAAACCTGGTTTTATAGCTAGCTAAACCTCCCGCTTGCATAAGTTTGAGTTGACATAAACTGAATATACTAGGTGAAACAATTTGTGAGGATTATTGTCTTTTCTTGTAAGGACTTAATTAATGCTAATTTTGCAGGTGGAAAGCATATAACACAAGACTTTATAAATGTTATACCTAGTCAGCGGCTTGGAACTAGACAGGACATTGGAGATACAGTAATGTATGTTGTCAGTGATGCTGCACAGTTGTTAACAGGAACAACTGTTATAGCGGACGGTGGTAGTCACCTGACACGTGGTAACAATTTCCAGGAAAGAATGGAATTGCTTAAAAAATCGCGACTTTAATGCTAGATTTTGATTTTGAGATTGTTATTAATAGAGATTATATTTTAGTATCTATAGTCAGATGTAGTTTTATATACAATGTTTCAGAAAAAACGTAAAAATACGTTCATCAAATGTACGAAAATAATGTTCAGACATAAGTATACATATATCTATACCTAGTATTGCAATACAGGGGAAAACGAAAAGAAATCATTGCAAAACTGTGATGATTTAACTTTTTTTGCGTAAATTGTATTTTTTTGTATTGTTTATTCAATTTGAAGTGGAAATGCAAATGAAATTCTCTACAAAAGATAATAAGATACCAAGTGTGAATTCAAAATGATGCTACAGTACAGACAACGGCTTGATGCACAGAAGTCGAAAAGACACAAAAACAAACATAAAATGTTGGGAAAAATATGAGAAAAGATGAACAAAGGATGAACAAGAAATATCTTAACCCATTTGGCATGTACGAAGAACTTTATTTTAAGTTATACTAGTAAGATACACAGACTGAAACACAACTTTCCAACAGATTGACAACCGATAAAACACTATTTGGTGTATTGTCCTTTGGTCTTTTTTGTGATAACTTATCGCCCTTCGATGAGATTGTAGTTGAGAAATACTCTCTCGTTTGGAAAACCATCGGTAATCTATGATTAATATAAACTAGAACGTGACGATATGTGTTACTAACTTTTTTTATATTTTTCATGCATACGAAAATTGTTGGAATACTGTATTACCATGTTTTTTTATTATGTTTGAGCAAAAGTGTCATTTATATTTTTCTATTCAGGATTGTATAACATTTCTATATTAGATTATCTGATAAATCGCATCAGATTTAAATACTTGAATTATGCGACAAAAAGAAACACCAACCATCCCATATCACGAAAAGAATTTTTCTTTAGCTTAAGTCACAAATAGAGAAGTTAATCTCAGTCCTGAAAAAAAGATTCATAAAAACAAAACAAAAAATCTTTGAACTATTTCTGCGTATAATTGGGTTCCACAACTAGCACTAATAGTTACTCTCATGGTAAAAACTCCCCATAATAATTCTCGTATTACAACTAGGTTGTTGCTGAATATTTAACTAATAAGATGCATAATAAGTTTACCAACGTTCAAATCTCGTAAATGCTGTACACATAAAGGTTGAAATCAGAAACTCAGGAAATCGCATTAACTCCAAAAGGACCAAGGCCTGTTGCGTTCACAGGGAAACACATTCATGAACACATCGACGAAACCTCAAGGCCACCAATCGGATGATATTCAAATGTCGATTTCAGTATAGGTTACCTTAGCTGTATTTGGCAAAACGTTTCGGAATTTTGAGTCCTCAGTGCTTTACAACTTCGTACTTCATTTTAGCCTTTTTAACTCGTTTGATTCAAGTGTCACCGAGGAGTCTTTTGTAGACGAAACGCACGTCTGGCGTACACAATTTTAATTTTGGTAACACTTGTAGACATATCCTTTGTTTTTCTATTATAGTTCGAATCTCTGCTGCTTTCCCTTTTTTCTATATCTTGTGTTATCGTTGATATCTTAGCATTAAGAAAAGATCATTATTAATTTTGTGTTTTTATTTGATTACTATCGACAATTTTGTGTAATTCATAAGAAAATGAAATTATCGCCTTTTTTGGTAGTTTTATCTGTTTCATTGCATATTTTGGCATATTCGTATAATATGAAAAGTGCAATCGAGAAGTGGATTCAAACATTTTTTCCTTCATAAGCAATATGTTTTTAAATTACTGGAAAATTACTTCGTTTATGCATTTTTTTGCCAATAATGGACACATTTCTGAATCATATTCCTTATTCTGTAAGTTTCTTATGAAAATGCCTATACCAAGTCAGGAATATGACAATTGTTTTCCATTCGTTCCGTTGGTTGATAAGGTCTAACGTTTGATTTTGTCAGTTTTAATGGACTTCGAGTTAAGTATTTTTGTTATATTTATTTTCAAGCGATTTTGTATTAATTTTCATTTACTATTTATATTACTTACTTGACTGTATAGATCTGTTTGGATAGTAGTGTAGAGAATTAAGTGGTTATTAAGTTCGCAAATAATACGATATCATTAAGAAAGGAACTGTTATTGAGAAAATTCGTCACAACAATAATTGAAGTATGAGACACAATGGATTAGCGTTAATACGTTAAAAAGATAATCTTTTTAACGAACTCACGCTTATCGATTGTATCTCAAACAGCAATTCGATGCGTTGAATTAAGGCTTGTTTCCGGGCAAACCATAATTGTTAACACTTAAGAGTTAAATGTTTCAAAAGAAAGGTTTCCTTCACAAAAAATTTTGATTTGATACTTGGAAAGGATAAATTTTTATTTTTAAATAATGACCAGAAAGATTTGTTCTTCTTTGGTCATTTGTTTTTACTCTTTTTTATTGGCGAATACATTTTTTTTTTACAAGCCAGTTAGAATATTGTTATAACATTGACGGTACCAATTTTACTGCATCAGATAAACATTCCGACGATTATAAATGACTCTTCAGTGATGCTCGAGGCCAAACTATTTCAAAGTTTAAACCCTCAT